TGAAGCAGTGATGGAGCACCTGGTGGGAAGGCAGGGTCTGCCCAGGAGAGCCCAGGTGCATGCAGTACACCTGAGTGACTGGAAGGGCTGGAGCCACGATCCACCCCTCCTCAGACCTCATTTAAGAGTTGGCAGTGGAGGCCAGGTGTCTCTTACTGGAGATCCCTGACTACTTGAGGGCTTCCAAAGGTGAGGAGCTTTTTTTCCTTTGTTTCTGCATCTGTGGCTGCTGTCTCTGGACTCTTTCTTTTTTGCTGCAGCCGAAGACCTTGCCACCTTGCTATGATGGGATCGTTATAGCTTTATTCTACTGCACATTCATAGTGAGCATTGCACACAAGCAGCAAAGTCATAAGCTGTTAGCTGATAGATAGGTGGGCTGAGTAAAGGGTCTTTGTTGTAGGTTGCTCTAAGAAATGCACTGGTCTAATGAAACCATATGTTGTTGTAGCCTGTGTTTCTCATATCTTTAGTTCTAGAGATGAGTGTGTTGTTTTTTTTTTTTCTGGTGCCCTTACACTGAAGTGGGTTTTATGTGGTTTGAAACACAATGATGAGAACTCTCAACATCTGAGGAAGGAGAAACACCTGAAGAAGTTTTTGGAGACTTTGGAGTGTTGGTGTTGCTCTATTTTCATGTCAGTGGTGACTCAAGTTTTACTAAACCATGCAAGCTATTTGTGTTATTTAGACTTGAGTTTCTGATTTCCTCGTTTCAGATGTGGTCTTGTCCTTCTCCACGTGGGCATCTCTATGGGACAGGGCAGGGAGAAGCGCTGAGCAATGGTTCATCTGCTTGAAATGTTCCTTGGATTTTTCGTGGCAGAGCTAATTTTGTTGAGGGATGCTGTTTTTGTGGAGCTTGAGCTTCTGTGTCTCTAAGCCTGAAAAGCACGACTGTATTTTGGCTGAGGGCTCAGCACTTAGTGCACAGGTGTGGTTTTGTGATGTCTTTGTGCCTGTTCCAGCAGCTTGCTGTGCAGCTCAGGGCAGGGGAGGTTTGGATTAGAACTGCTGTATTTGTGGGCTCAGCATTGCAACTTCTGTAGTGCAGGGTAATAGGACTTTCAAAAATAGGGGCAGAAAGCGGCTTAGGGTGAAAATTGAAAGAATCTCTGTTTTCTGTGGGGGAAACACTAAAGTAGTTCTAACTGCTTATCTGTAAATTGCCTTCCAGTTTGACAACAAATGAAGATTCTAAATAGAAAACATGTTATATATTGAATTAGTTTGAACTCGTACTGCATAACTGGCTTCTGAATATATTTTGATTTGAATTTGGTGGCTCAGTAGCTGGAGGTTTTATTGCTGGGTAAAGTTGTGGTATACAGCTGTTTTCTCTTAACTGTGTTACTGCAAACCTTCCTTTGTTACAGAACAAGTCAAATTAAATATAGCTAGGACAAATGAGAACTTAATTAAAAAAATACATAGCATTTTGCTTTTAATGGGCAAAATATCAGGCAGTTTCTAATATGTTCTTTTCTGATGTTTGTGATAACACTTAGTGGATAAGTTGAAGTATGCAGAATGAATTCCTTGAAAATACTTTAAAAGCTTTTCCATTAAAAATATGAAAGCATTGTCAAAAAACAGTGAAATGTACCCTTGTAATAGAATTTTGGAGTAGAAGGACAGAGTTGCCTTTTATAATCCAGAGCTTCACAGTAATTTTTCTGCACCTAAGGGATGTCCTTACCCTCTCTTCCCCTCCCTCTTTTTATCTGTCTGTTTATTTATTCAATTTGTCTTTGAACTGCTGGCACCTTGCCTTAGCTGCTGACCAATGGCCAGCTGCAGGGGGCACGGATGGGTGGGATGCTCTGGCACCTGCTGCCTTTGGAGCTCTGGCCTCCAGCCGACAGCAAAGCAGAGCCACGCTGCTTGTGTGCCAGTAGGTGGGAAATGGTTTGTCCTGTGGAGGCACAGATAATCTGTCCAGGACACCCAAGCCACTTTTATCAGGCCTCTCAACCTTCAGCACGTGAACTTGCTGGGATTTGCATGTTGGGTGGCTAAGAACCAGATATTTCCATGTTGGAGTTACAGTCCTGTTTTTTTTTGGTTTTTGGCTAGCTGACCCAAATAGCGACCATGAGAAGACAGAGTTTGTGAATTTGGTGCTGCTGTTTTCTGAATTCACTCGACATGATGTTTTCTCTCATGATGCATACATGTGCACTTTAATATCGCGTGGAGACTTGTCAATTACTGCAACTACGAGACCACGTTCACCTAATGGGGAAACTGTGGATGAGCACTATTCTAAGGATAATGATGTTAAAATAGAGGTAATGCTGCATGTTGTTTCTCCCACGTTCAGTACTTGATTTCATAAAATGTGGATTTTCACCAAGGTATTTCAGATACAGGTTTTCTTTTTAACTTATTTTTAATCTCCCTTTGTCTGGCCTTCTATCTCTGACTGGAAGTGGACTGGAAGTGATCCTTTGGCTGTGTTTTTGTGTGCAACTTAAGTATTGCTGTTTTAGTGAAAATATACTGAGCTAAATAACTCTGGACAAACAAAAATGCATGATGTTGGCTTCTGAATTTAGCAGTGAAGAAACTTAGGTGCAGGTAAACTGCAGGAGCTCGCTGTGTGCTGAACAGCCACAGATGTCCGTACGAACTGGGTCATAAAGCAAATCCTTGTGACTCCAGTGTGCACAGTTGTTGTGCAGTCCTCAGTCTTCCATCAGATGAGCGTTTCTCCATCTTTGCTAAAACGAGTGAAAAAAGAAGGCACCTTTAAGCTGCAGAACGTGGGCTACATTTGGACTTTGATGATGAGATTCAGCCCTCTGTGGAGCTGGCGGCCAGCTAAAGCTTCTCTCATCTTTACCTGTCATTCCTTTTGTACATCTCTTACATAGGGCTCAGGGTCAAACTTGCCCTAGGATGTTGGGGTTGTCCAAGTAAACCTTGCAGGTGCAAGAGTCCCGTTCTGTAGGTGTCCCTGGGAGCAGAACTACTTGCAGGGATATGCTGTAAACCTTTGTTTCTCCTTCAGCCCCTTCTCCCTTCTACTGCTTTATGGATTTAGGCTTGAGAAATACTTCTGTGAATTAAAAGGCAGTATGTGAAAGCTTCCAACCATCACTACTTTTTTCTTATTTCTTAAGTAGGTGAAATGCTTGGGTTTACCTGGGACCAGTTAAATAGGTCATCAGTACGGTGTGACTGATGCTTGTTTCTCTCTCTGACAATTCTTAGGATCACAGCATTATGGAGCACTTGGGCACTGACTCAGGACCCACCAGTATCTTTGATGATGTAGACAAGGGTGACTTTAAGGCAGATTTTGGTTCAGAATTTCCAGTAGGTTTAACTTTTGGCTTTCTGCATGCCTTTGGTGCTTGTGTTTGCTGCCTTCTGTTGTCACCAGGAACGTTCTGTGCTCCTCTGGATTTTCTCATTGCGATTTCTGTATCCCAACTGTTTATGTGTAGAAATTGCTCTGAACTGTAATGTTTTGGTTATTTCTTCCCTCATGGAACACTTCTAGTTTAAAACCTGTCTGATAACAATGAGATTCACGTAGAAATATAACTTGTATATGTAGCTGCTTACATTTCAGCACAGACTACCGTTGCCCTTGTTTTGTCTATCTCTGAAAAAAGCTCAGATGCTTATAAATAATCTGGTCTTTGGAATTGTTGAATTTAAAAAGTTAGAGGTTACTTATCTCAAACATTTGTTTTACATGACTTAGATTTTTTCTCCGATGCCTGGGGAGTCCTGTGAGAACATGAACTCTTCTTTAGACAGAAGAATTTCGGTTGCCAGTGAGAAGTCAGTCAAGAGGGAAGGGCTCAGAGAAGTGATTTTTCCATCCAACTACGACCTCCTTCGTCATCTGCAATACGCGACGCATTTCCCCATACCTCTGGTGAGTGAATTCTGGTTGGGCACAGAGCAGCGTTGGCTGTTGTGATGGCAAATAAAAGCACTTGAAGGAAGAAGTGTTCATTATGTGCAGGGAGCAGAGCCAGCTTCATTCGAGGGCTCCCAATCAGCTCTCGTGAGGCTGCTCCTGCTGCGTGTGCCCGCTGTGTGCTGCAGGATGTGCAACGTGCAGGAGCTTCATCTTACCAAAGGAAAACGTGCTCCTGGAGAAGTGCCTGAGCAGTAGTGATTTATGCTAACCTAGCAGAGAAGGGAGATGGTACTACATTGCCAATGCCACATTCCAGGGTTTGATGGAAGTTTGCTAAATAGAAAATCTGATCTAGTAGTTGGACTAACGGATGAATACTGAAATATCTGAAGTGTGATGGATGGAATGGTGCTATTTCCTTCCTCCCACTTCCTCTTGTTTGTAGTATGGCTTTTGGGCTGCTTCTGTTACTCTGTTGGCCTGGGTCCTCATGGGAACTGCAGAGAACTCCGTGAGTAGCGTTCCAGATCCCAAATCCTCGTTTGGCTGATTTTTAGATATTTATTTACGTAACGACACTGCATGTTTGCTGCAGTGCTGGGCAGAGGGCCGCAGGCTGAGCGGGCAGGAAGTGGAGTGTCTGCTCAAACTGTTCTGGTTTTGTTTAGAAACAACAATGATAATTGTTAAGCAGTGTTGAATCCTACCAATACAGGAGGTGTCAGCTGGTGTGTGATGTGATTCCTCCTGGCCTCCTGTCTTCCTTGCTTTAATTTTGGGTTGCTACAGGTGATTTGTTTTTATGAGAATATTGAATCAGCTGTTTCTTTTCAGGCCGGTTTTGAGTGCTTGCTTGAAGTCTGATTTATGTCTTGAACCATGTAAGTTAGTTATTTCTGCCGAAGTTTTGGTCAGATGGAGTTAATCCTGGCAGTTTGACTTTGCCTGAGCAAATTGTTTTTTCACTGTGATTATCATCTATTCTATAAATACGTTATTTGTGGAAGTGCTTGTTAAAAATAAATAAAAATAATAGTGTGTGTGTATACATATGTACATAAATGCTTTTAGTTACTGCTTTATAAATTTTTATAAATACAAGCAAAGACCACACAGTGAGTATTTCTGCTTACTCTTTATTCTCATTTTACAGTTGCCTTGAATCTTCTGTACTCACATGTTGCTGGTTTTTAAGTTCAGTGCAGTAGCATCACAGGAGGGCAGTGGAACTTGACAAGAACAGAAGGTTTATTTATGGGAATTACGGGTGAGATGTGAGCAGATGCAATAGTTTGTTAATCAGTGCAGCTTAACACTGCGTTCTAGATTAAGTAATGCCCTTTAAAATGCCTTTGGGTTAATTGTGTCTGTGAGAAGCTTTGCAGGCCGTGAGCTGCTATTTGGAAACAAGTCTTTACTTCATTCCACCAAGCTCTTCAATCTGTTAAGAATACAATATTTTACTTAGGGAGAGCCCAAAGTATTTACCATAAATACTAGGAATGTATATTTGGGTGTGTCTCAACGAACTTTACTACACATTATTGCTGACTGTTCATAGGTTGGCACTGATAGCTGCAGTATTTCCAGAAAGCGACACCGAGTGCTTTGCTGGTTTGGTGTGGTGATGTGAGTCTTCTCATCCATCCAGTGGTAATGGTGGTGGTAGCAGCTGTTTCCAGTTGCACAACGGCTGTTCAGGTTATGTGTTTGCACATCCCTTCTGGGTACTTTAGAATCAGTACATTTGCACCCGCTGCTCGCTTTGGTGCTGTGCCTCTTCATCTGTGGAAGCCTTTGCCTGTTTGGGTGCTACAAAAGCCTCATTAACTTTCAGTCTGAATACACTGGAAAGACGATAATACAGAATTGGGTCAAAACAGAGGTTTGATACTGCAAAGAGCAAGGTAGATTCTTTCGCTTGAAAGAGAGTTTGCTTCAGAGAGCAGCTGGTTATGGTGTCACTCTGGCTCAGGGTGTAAGGGATGCGAACGACGTGGTAGGGAAGGAAGCACAGCAGGTAGGCTGCTGTTAGCAGCAGTATGCTCACCAGGGCTTTCTTCACATTGGGGTAGCTCTCGCTGTATTTGTTTTGGTAGAGCTGTCTGACAACGAGGAAATTGGAAATGAGTATCAGGGCTGAAAAATTCAGGAATATTGCTGTGCACACAAAGTTAGTAAACACGTGCCAGTCTCTCCCAAATTTTGTTTTGAGATCGATGCACCTTGCGTTAGGTCTTTCTTCAATGGTTTTTATTGGAATAGCCATGTTAGGCACTGTTATAAGGAGAACCATTGTCCATACGACTGCAGACAAAACCTTGGCAAATCCAGGCTCTTGAATGCGATAGATCTTAGAGCTGTGCATGAGCTGAAGGTAACGATCCATGCTTACAAATCCCAGGAATATAATTGATAAATACATGTTCAGGTAGATGAGACAGGCTGTCACTTGGCAGTGGAATATCTGCAGTTTCCAGGGCGCAACTCCTAGGTCAACTGTTATCTTTACTGGCAACGCCAAAGTCAGCAAGAAGTCTGCAGTGAGGAGGTTGGTTAAGTAGATGCTCATACACTTCTGCTTCTGACCTTTTCGTGTGAATGCCCACAGCGCAAAACAGCTCCCCAGGAAACCCGTAAGAAAGATCAAGTAGTAAAAATAGGTGAAAGGTTCCAGTTCTGTTTTGATGTAGCATTGTGAAGCGTTGTTTGGCATTGTGAGCTTCTTGTGTGCTTTGCTGGCTGGAGAGATCGAGAACCTACGAGAAACAGCCGAGAAGACATCAGCTTTTCTGAGCAATGTTCATTGTTCTCTGAGAGTTTTGTGTGTGTGATTTCATGAGAAGATGCAGCCAGGACAAAATATGCGTTTTTCTCATCCTGCTTCACAAATGTTTGAGAGAACTTTTTTCTCCTGTCAGAAATGTTTGGGAATGCATAGGATTTGTTCTTGGAAGCATATAGACTTCTTCTCAGCAGTGTTTCCACAAGAGCAGTCTTTCAGGTTGCATGCAAGGCTCAGGAAAAAAAAGCAAACCCACAAAAGCTATGAAACTGCTTCAGGTTAAGCGTCTGGTTAAAGACGGTGTTGTGAAACTTTGCAGCTTCAGGGCAGGTGAAGCTGCGTTTAAAAATGAAGGGTAATGTTGTAGCAATCTCGCTTTAGGAAAGTATATTAGAAGTTTGAGGTTAGTGCCCTGTCAAGCCAACGTGCAATGCGTTGGCTGGATGGCCGGGCAGTTCTCAGTTCTACATTTTTGCTGTCTCTTTCACCTGAGCAGAGGATAAAGGAATTGCAGATTTAAATCAAGCCTTTTAAAAAAAGGCATGTTTTGGAAAAAGCTGCTATCAAATAACTTTGTTTGCTTTGTTTTTAGGCTTCACTAGAAATTAGAGGGAAGGAAAGTAGAAATTGTGCTATTTTAACTAAATCTGCTACTCAGCAACCACACTTTTTTGTTTGCTACGCTGACGGACTGCAGCACAGTGTCAGCTACACAGGAGGTACACCAGAGTTCCTTGGGATGAAGGGCACCTCAAATAGCCTAAATCTGCATCAGTTTTCATAGCACTACATTATTCTGATTGTCTAATGCACAAGTGAAGTGCTGCATTTTCACACTTGCTTTCTGCTGTAAATCACATATCCAGATGAACGTAATTTGTGTTTCAGTAAATACAATTGACTGCAGATACTTGTGGAGTGGTTTAAAATGCCTACAAAGGCATTGCCTTTCTAGTTGGCCTCTGCTGTCTTGAAGATGTACCCTTTCGCAGTGGGTTTGGGCACAGGCAGTGCTGCCCAGCCCAGGCTCAGGGCTGGCGTCCCCCTGCACAGGCAGCGCTGCCTGGCTCCGATGTGTGCGCTGTGCTGGGTGCTGCTGACAGCTGCCCTGCTGGGCTCCTGGGCCTGCTGTGCCTGCACTCTGCACGGCTGGACTTCAAGCCCTGGGTTTACCTAGGTGTAGGCAGAGGGAAGCAGACAAGGACTGACAAGCACATACCTGTCTTAGGGCCCTGGGAGGATCCGGAGCAGCAGTCTGTTAGCATTCGGTGTCTCTCAGCATGTTTTCTCATGGTGCAAGAGCAGGTTAATGTTTTCCCCTTGCTGTCTCTGCTGTTTTTTTTTTTAACTTGTCTGTGGTTTTTAAATGCTCTGGCTGACGCAATTAAAACCAGCGTTCAAGCAACCGAGGCACATGAAAGTTACCTGGAGAAGTGACAGCAGGATGTGAGCCCCCGTGGAGCTGCCCTCTGGTGCTGTGGTTGTTCCCTTCCTACAGTGCAGGCAGGGGATGCACGGGGATGGGGAGCCCAGAGGGGGCAGCTGGGGGAGCACCGTGTGACCTGGAGGGGGAGGTACTTCTATTAGGAGTTAAAACCTTTAGAGGTTTGCCAGGCACTACTAAAATATTGGCACTGAAACCTGTCTTGTTAGTGCCCTGGTACTTGAGAATCCTCAGGAATTTACATACTGTGCAGCAGAGCCATGTGAAAAACCAAGTTAAGAATGTCTGGTTTTAGATTTAGTCATAGGCTGAAAGTTCAGACCATATTTGTTGAGATGTTTGCAAAGCTTCTTAATCTGGAGTGCTCCTTTGGTCAGCTTTGAGCAGATGTGGGCTGATGTTATGCTGTTGTGCTCATCGTGCAAGGCTAAGCTGCACGGTACCACTTTTTAACTTGAAATGCAGAGTTTGGTCTGTTTTCTGTGCATCTCCCATACAGGCCAGCTTCGTTGTGCAGACTGGGATGGAGAGAGGCCGGAGGGAGGGAAGGGCTGTGAGCTGCCGTGGGTGGGAGCGGGCTGGTGTGCTCTGGAGCTGTGGGGCTCTGTGGCAGAGGTGCAGTGTGAGGGCAGTGGTGAGGGTCTGCGCACACTGTGCCCTGTGACAGCCCTCGGCCCATTCCTGGCTCTGGGCTTGGGGACGCTGCACTGAGGGATGCCTTTGGCCCATCTGGGGCTGGCCCCTGGGGAGCTGCCTGTGCTTTCTGCCTCTCTGCGGGCTGCCATGGGCTCGTGCACAGTGCGCTCCTCAGGGCAGGGTCCAGCGGGACCTGTGTTGGTATTCCATGCTTGTGAGGCTGGGCCGGGCCTGGATCTGTGCTGCTGAGGGTTTGGGTTCATCTCTCTTCTGATGTCTTCAGCGAGCTTGGTGTGCCTGCAGATGTATAAATCAGTGTGTGCTGACTGCAGAACTTGCAGCTGGGCACAATACAGGGGAAGCACTGGCTTTTTTGTGATTTTCTGTCATTTGCGTGATGATAGGCAGACAACCCTCTCAAAGAGTCAGTTTTCTCTCAGCTTTTCGACTCAGAGAAGCAGTTGGAGCCGTTCCGAGGCACGGTGGTGAGCAGATGATGCAAATCAGTCCTGAGGGATTTTCCCTCTCTTCCTGTGCGGGGCCGTGAGGTGAGCACTGAGTGCATCCCTGGGGAGTGATCTGCGCCCTGAGCCCCACTCACGCGCTCTGTGCCCAAACACGTGCAAACAAATCCACCGTCTGCTTTTAAAGATTTCTGTGGCTTTCGTTAACAGATTAAAAGGTTTTATCCCACTATAATAGGTCTGCATTGTAAGTGAAAAATGTAGGTGTACTTGGCACAAGGGTTGTTGTTACGAGTTCTGTGCAGAAATAGCTCTTTGTGATGAAGAGTTGCTGGCATTTCTATTTACGCGCACAGGGAGAGCTGATGTGCCCAGCAGTGTGTGCATCGCTGGCCCCTTCTGAGGGGTCCCGAGCTGTTGGCTGTGATGTGGTGTGAGCTCAGCAGGGCCTGGGTGTGCTGGGAGAGCTCAGCTGGCAGAGCGAGGTGCACCATGCGGGCAGTGCAGCAGCCAGCAGCTCCCTGGGCCCCTCGGAGCCTTCTGTCAGGAGCGCCAGGCCTGCCCTGCTGTGCCATGGCTTGCAGCTGGCAGCTGCAACGTGTAGCCCTTGCTGCATCTGCTGGCTGTGACTACAAGGTCTGCTGTGTACCAACAAGTGGCATCAGACTCCCCTTGGGTGAGATGTTCTTGTTGTTTGCAGTAGAGATCAATCATTACTGGAGATGGCTTCTTGCACAGTTAACCTCTAGGAGCCACATTGCTGGTTTCAGCCCACATGGGATTTTTTGTATGTTGAGAATGTTGTGTAATGAACTTTTTCTCCTTAAATAGTGCTTGGAGGAAGGATTTCCATTTGCTAAGCATAACCCCTCAAATGGGAACCTGATTTAGCCTCGGTTACCCATAAATTTCACTGCAACAATTTTAGGGAAGTATGCAGGCAGGGCAAGAGCTGGTTCCTAGTGGGACTACAGGACTTGGGTGTCTGAATTGCTTGCCAGGGTTACCTGAGACATGGTGTGCTGGGAAAAATGTCACAGAATTAACTTATCAGTGTGCCTTTCCGTCCTGGTTTATACAGCAGAGCAAGATTGGCAATGTGGAGCAGAAGCTTGGCTGGATAATGGAGTTCCTTGAGACTTGTGGCTCCCCGAGTACTGGATTGCTGTAGGGTCAGTGGTCTCAAAATGTTTCCTGAGCAGTGAAGTTACTGGAGGGAGTTGTTTTTTGTTTTTTAATTGAAACTCATCAGAAGCTCGGAATTCAGTGTTGCTCTGGAAACAATGTATGGCATCAGCATGCTTTCATCTGAGGTGCTGTGTGTAGATTTTTGTCATTGTAGTGTTGGTAAACTGGTAGGATACGGAGACAATTCTTCAGTAGAAATAGTTTTTGGGTTTTTTTCCCCCCAAAGCTTGCAAAGTAATAAAAAAAAAAAAGTTATAGAAATGTGAATTGCAGACATGGATTTCATCACTGTGTGCCGCTGTATTTTGACATATGCAATCACTTAGGTTTATGTAGGCAAATAAAATCCATCTCATATAAGGAACCAAATGTTTTTACCATCAATTATAAGAAGTCACCTACAAATCCAAAGATTCCCTTCCCTTTCAAATTATTTCTCTTGCTTGAAAGGAAGAGCCTGCAAAGCTTTGTTGCGAGTCAGGGAGTTCGTGGTCAAGGATGGTGATGTACTGTTACTGCAGGTTGGTGATGTCAGACCAAGTGGCCCACAGCCTTGGAAAACTTACAAAGACAGTGTATTTAAACAAAGTATTCACCCTGAGACGCTACCTGTTTGGGTTAAAGTAACATACAGTGGCAGAAGGGTAATAGGTGTTATTTCTGTTCCTGTAACTTCTTTGTTATGCAAAATGAGAGCTTCCATAGTCATTTCTGGAAAGCTTTTGTGGATACTTAATGCATTGGTACAGTTTCCCTTTATGATGATTGGGAGGAAAAAAAAAAAAAAAAAGGTTGCACTGAAAAATATCACTAACAGAAGATTACAGTTGCATGTGGAAGGTTGGTGTTTCAGCTGTTACTTCTGTGCATAGTTATGTGTTTTACCATAGTGCCAAAAGCACAGGAAAACCATTCCTTCTGGATTTCAGTGTATGACCTTCCCGTTCCTGCACTGCTCCTGAACTGTTCCTACCTCCTGCAGCAGAGAGGGTGTGCGTGAGTTTGGTGTATGCCATGCTTTGTGAAAAAGCCCTGAACAGAACGGCACAGTGCTTACCAGCTTGTGGAAGGGTCCCTCTTTATACGTTTTCTTATATTGAACATTATATCTTAGAAGTTCTCTGACTCCTTGATGCCTTAGGATGACAAATAGTCATGTTGTCTAATTCCCTAAACTTGTAGAACAATTTGCTTAAGAAAGTCAAAATATTTTTGTAAGTTGCACCAGTTGGTTGTTTTTTTTGTTTGTTTGTTTTTCAGGCTTTGTGCAAATCTTTGAGGATTTGATCACTCCCTCATGTATACATATATATACACACACACAACTGCCTATATATATAAATACACATTATGTGTATATATATGTGTGTGTATATATACACAACACATGCACAGAGCTGCCTTTTCTTTGGCAGGTCATTAAAGTGTTTGAGCACTTCATCAACGGCTTTGCTATCTGAGTTGGTGAATGCACAGAGAGCTCTCCGTGGCAGAGGCTGAGGCAGGGGGCCCAGCTGAGCTGATCGTGTTGCCTCAGGGCATCTGCTCCGGTTGAGCTGGGATGATCTGTTGGGCTGCCCTGCTGCTCCTCAGATGTCCTGCCTGGCTTCATGAGGAATCAGGGCACTTCAAGGCTGGGATAATTCTTTCAGAACTGTGGCCTGGCACTCCAGAATGTTTTGTTCCAGTTACTCTTTTCTGAGATCCAGATAGGTCACAGTGCACCTCACTGCAGTCATAGTCAGCTGAAATACCACGTAGTAAATACACTGACAGCATGCAGTAGACTTTTTATATAGAGAAACATTGCTCGGTATTTTGTGCTTGAAACCTTTTTCGGTTTATTGCTGGTCATCACCTGTTCAGTTTCTTTCTGCAGTGTCAGTGTTTGCGTTCTGGGGCAACTTTCAAGCCTGCGTTATTCTACAGACCTGAACTTACAGAATGTTCACACTTTCCTGAAGCGTGTTTGATCTCCTCGATTTGGTGATTTCAGCCTCACCTGACGTTTTCAGCTTGAGGTGCAGTTTTTGATACAGCCTTTCTCTAAAAGGTTGGCAGAGGAAAAAATAAATAATGGGGTCGAGGCACACATTGGCAGCAGATAACAGCAGAGTGAACTCCTTGGCGTGGAACAGAGCTCTCTGCGAGCGGCAGTCGAACCGTGAGCTGGTCTGGCTCAGGGTGTACGGGATCCGGCAGAAGTGGTACGGCACAAAGCAGAGGACAAACACGAACATGATGGTGAATATATTACGGCTGGTTTTCCTCTTAGTGAACTCTGAGTTCCGTCTGAACTTCTTGTAGGAGCTGTATATTTTTTTTGAGATTGAAGTGTAAAAAATGATGAGTAGGAGGAAAACAATCCAGAAAGTCCCTGTACAAATATAACTGGACACCTTGTGCCACTGTTTGCCAAGTTCGCTTTTAAGACCGATGCATGTTCTGGAATAATTTGCTTTAGGGATTTCGTTAGTTAAAATCATATTTGGAAGCGTTATAAACATAATCAATAGCCATATGATGACAGAGATAACCTTACTGTAGTGAGCCGTGTGGACAAAGGAGGTGAATAAAGGCTTCACGATTTTGTAGTACCTGTCAAAACCGATGAGGCCAAAAAACGTTATTCCGATATACATGTTTGCATAGAAAACAACAGCAGAGTACCTGCACACAAATGTGTTGAGCTGGGGAGGTGCGATTTCCGAATCGGCCAGGATTTTGAAAGGAAACGTCAAACTCATCAGGAGATCTGCGACGACGATGTTTTTGAGATAGACGATAAAACTCTTCTCGCTGGAGATGCACAGGAAGATCCATGCTGCCACGCCATTCAGCAGCAGCCCTACCACGAAAATCAGGCAGTAGATCAGGGGAATGACCGTCTTTGTTATCACTGTGCTGTTACTGCAGCTGCTTCCCGAGGAGTTTGTGCTGGAATTGAACATCTTACAATGTCTTTGATCCTAGAAGCAGAAGAAATATTATCTCAGTAAGTTAACACACAACTGTGCTTTCTACTAATCAGTGTAGGATTTCTAATCTTATTTCAAAGTAAACTTGGCGTACTTCTCAGAAACCACGTTATTGTTTCCAGCACAGTAAATGCTTTCCAGGTGGTGCCATCTCAGTGCTGGTATTCAGGAGCATGCTGCTGTTTTGGGCTTCTGTCATTCCTTCTAGATTTGGGTCCATCTGTTTTGCTCAAATCCTGTCCTGTGTTTTTTAGTTGAGCCTACATGCTGAGAATCCACAGTGTTCAGTGACTGCAAATGCACCTCATTAACCCTGAACAACTCGTGTGTATTTTAGCACTGACTTACCTGGAAACAGATGACAGATATAAAAGTTCCTTGTAAAAGTGTTTTGAATATGGTCACTGCAAACATGCTTTATTAGTCAAGCCTGGGAATAACTAATAGCTGCTAAAATACTAATAGTATTTTCTGATCCTTTCTTGAGGGAGAGCCCTCTGTGCAGCTAGCACAGTTTGCTCTAAGCTTTTAGTAACACAGCATACCATGTTGTGTCTATATTAGCATGAGTTAGAAGTGAGAGTGCCCTCCCAAGTCATTCAGGCTCAAATTTTGGAGGATCCCCAGGGAGGCTCCAAGAAATCACATCTACTGTCTGCTTCTCTTTGGCAGGGTAAATTACCCGCTGTAGGGAAGCCTGAACAGACAGGTACATATTGCTGCTTCGTGGGCACATGAAAACCTGGGCAACTGGAAAACGTGTGCTGCAGAGTAGGGGGAGAGAAACATCCTGTTTGCTGGAAGATGAATCATTTCCTTACTGCTGCAATTGAGAGCCAATAGCTGCTGCCTCTGTGTAGCAGGTAGAACCCCAATTCAACCTAGCAGTAACTGGAAATGGAAACTTTATTTCACATAGGTAAAAGTTTCCCTTGGTGTGTTGTTTTCTTTGTATCTCTGGAGGAGGTTATAAAGGCTGACAAACTTTGTGGCTGTTTTGGAACTTGCTTTGATAAGTGGAATAATGAGCCTGTAATGTACCCAGAGCTGCAGTTCATCTCTGCCTCTTGTCTTCCCACAGGCTGGCCTGCTCTCTTATTTTCAGGCTTTTCTCAAGTCAAGGCACTTGTTTCTGTTTGGCTGAATTTTTCAAGGCTGAAGTTGGTGTGGTGAGTGGCTGTGCTAGGATTGTGAGTTAATAAGAGGTGAGGTTTGGGGTGATACTGCTAGGAGGAGGATCTCTGCTTCTCCCGTGTATCCTCATTCGGGGGGGAGCACCACCAGATGGCATTCTTAATTCTCATTAAATGGCATTCTTATTTAGAGCGGTAACCTACCGTCTGAAAGCTGTTCTCTTCCCACTGCTGTCTGCTGTGTGTCCTGTCTGTCCTGCAAGGCTGTCTGAGCAGGACCTTCTCTCCCCACGTTGTGTGCTTGAGAGTTGTTCCTTGCCTGCTGGGTTTGCTAAGTAACGTATGTGGAAGGTTTGGTTCTTGGGCCTGGCAGCAGCAGGTACTAAATGGCTTGGGAAGTCTGCAAAGTAGTTCTCATGCTAACATAACATACTACAAAGGATTATTTCACAAGTATGTGGTCAGTGCTCAGAGATGTGACTGTTGTAGCTTTGTCTACTGTCCCTAGAGGAGGAGACTAGACATGAAGATATCGCTTCTGATGGCAGCAGATTTACCAGCTGTCTGTGCCTGAGAAAGAGGCCAAAGTCCAAGACAGACACTAAACCTTTCCACACCTGTGGCATGCCCTTACCTTTCTGCATCGAACTGCTGGGTGCTTTTAGTGCAGGTGCTAAGGGCCTCGAGAGCCTTCCATCGTTAGCGCAGGGCCTGTCCTCCAGCAGAGCGATCTGCTGGGCAGGAAGCATGGTGGTTAGAGCTGTCATCACGGTGCTGCCCTGTGCAATCTGTCAGCAGGCCCTCGGCATTGCTCCGGAGCAGAGCTATGGTGGGAGCAGCTGTGTTTGTCCTGGACCATCACTGTATGCACGCAG